TTTTTTTAATTCTGTCTCTCAGAGTGGGAATGCACCTACAATGTGAATTTCAGACCCCTCCATGATTTCTAAGTGGGAGAACTTGCAAAATCGCAGGGTGTTCAAATACTTCTGTTCCTCACTGTATTGGAAGGCATATGTGGCATAGCTTAAAATGGCCTGTTTTGATGAGCGTCACTTTAATTCATACAATGAAAGAACTTTAACGATACCAGTAAAGAAGAAAAATGTTAGATGCATAATGAAGATACTTCACCGGAGCTCACTGTTCAAGACCGCAACACAACAGCCTTTAAATTTTCACACAACTTTACCTTTGTCTTTCCCTCTTCAGCCTGCTTCCTGTGTGTGTGTGTGTAGCGTTTAATAATTCACAGTAACTTCAGTCCATGGTGACATGATGAAATAGCCAATCAAATGCTTTTTAAGTGGGCTTGCTATATTATTTTTAGCATTTTACTCATTAGTCTAACCAAAGACATTGATGAGTCTGACTAAAAATCTTCTATATAGATTTTTTTGTGGTGTTGTTGTTGTTTTGTTGTGCTGGGAACATAATCTTTCCTCACTCCCTTTCCCAACAGGAATGAGTACATGTGCATGTCAGAAGAGCAAATCTATTTAGCCACAACTTCTGCAGATCAGAGAAACGTGAAATTCATGTCCCTGAAAATAATTTGGGGCTGGCTGAGTAAACATCCCCCTTTGTCTCAGTAATATTGTTCATCTGCTGCTATATGAAGTGTGTCATCTGTAGTCTCTTGTGGAGAATTTTTTTTGGGTCACCTTACTGAGAGGTCTGTTGTTTACGTTCTACACTGAAGCAATGTACCCAGGTTCATGTGAAGTTCCTGTTTGTTGTGAATACACTTGTTTTTTTTAGCCATCAGCATATGTACACAACACAAACTCACTCAGTTAGGAAACACATCTTCACCTGACACACTGTTTTAGACTGAGGTTTGCTTCTGTTGAATATCATTTAAACCTGCTTGTAAACAGTAATTCTGAATTTTGAATTTGGAGTCCTGCCAAAGAGTGGGTCATTAACTGTTTAATCTAGAATTTCTATTGTTACTTTTTCTCTTGCTCTTTTGACATTGACATACAAGGCACATAGGAGGATAGGCCAGGGTATTGATTTAACATTGACGTACAGCAAATAGTCACATAGTCTCAGTGCTTAATTAGTTTAGCTCTGTTCTAACACTCTCCCCTCTTTTCCTCCTCTCTCTTCTTCACAA